TCATTGATCTCTTTGTGCATCTTTTGAAGCAGTTTCTTTTCTTTTTTCTTTTTGGAAGCAATTTCTGATCTCTAAAACATACCTTGTTCTACCTGATTATTTTTCAACAATCTGAATCATTCATAAGCCAGCCCAAAATTCATCTTTGCTGAGACTCTTCCTGCCCTCCCTCCTCAGTTTTGTTCCTTTTAGCACCAACATACTAATGACGTCTGTACTGGGCGCACTGCTATTCTGATTGACAGTCACCATGTGCTGATCTGGAGTACTGGTTTTATCTCTCTGTTTTCTATTTTTTTTAATTTAATGTTTTTTAACTGGAAGTGACTTTAGTGTCCAGAGGCATCTCTGCGGCAAGTTCGGCATGTTACTCTCTTCCAAGAGATTTCTGAGTTTCTGGATCATGACCGTTAATGAGCTTATATGGTGCCAGAGGCAGTTTGTGGGCGTGACTGCCAGGCTACTGGGAGCTCAGGGAGGCAGCAGGGAAGTTTTCTGTTTCTGACTCCATGTGAACCTGGAGATTTCAGTCACAAGTCCAGCATACCTGGATTTTCAGGAGATTCCCTCATGGATGGATGAGGTTTGTCTGATCCTGTGGAAGCCAGCCTTAAACATGGCGGCTATTGAATTCTGGTTTTTAGCTGCTGAGGCTCTATTGGGTTGGATATCTCCTTATTCTAAGTGTCCCAAGGAACTATTATACATATTCTCTCGCAGGCCCCCATAGAATCTATTTCCCTGAATTGTGTACAATTTGAACTCAATGACTGCCTCTCTGTTCAGAAATCATATCAGCCATTATACAATGCCCTTTTCTATCCTTAGCAGTTCTCTGGGAAAAGCCATATGACCCTCTACTTCTCAGTTTTTATATTTGACACATTATAAACGTTGTTCTATAGTTACAATGTAATTTATTCTAAATGCTGTTCTTCCATAAGACCCTCACAAATAACTGGGTTGAGGGATGCCTTTTTGCCACTTCCAGCAGTTTTCAAGGACTATACCTGACTTTGTGCTCAGGTATAAAACTTGGAAAATGTGTGGTATTGGGGACATGACCAGGGCCAGCAGAATGCAAAGGAATTGCCTTAACTCTTGTACTATCTCTTTGGTATTCTCCAAGTAATTTTATGTTAAATAGTGTTTATCTTTCCATGTTTAGAGCTTATTTCTGCTTGTCCAGTGGATCAACTTTTGAAAGGATAGGCCTAGCTTTATAAAACCATCTTTCTTTTAGAAGTATAAAAAATATTGGCAGTCAACTCTATGTACAGACTATCATAAAACTTTGTTAAAAGCCACTGATTTTTGGTTTTCTGTTTGTTTTTGATCCATACCTGGATGTGCTTATTCCCAGCTCTGAGCTCAGGGATCATTCTTAGTAGGCTTGAGGGATCATATGGTGTTCCAGGGACTGGACTCCAGTCAGTTGTGTACAAGGCAAACACTGTACCTACTGGAATATTGCTCAACCTCAAAGCCATTTTTTTAAGGGATACATGTTTTCCTTGCTTTTGGAGTTCCATTCAGGGTGTTATTTGAATCAATATTTTGAATTTTACCCCAATGTGCTATAAATGGGAGGTTTCCCTAGACTCTTTTAGGGATTACCTTTTTTTTGAAATTTTCCCTTATTTTTTTGTGTAATTTAATGCTTCCCAGGGGTCAGTGGTATATTATTTTTTTTCATGGTAATCTAGTACTTAAGAAGGGCTTAACATCTATAGGCTATATACTGAGCAAAGGTAGTACACACTTTAAAATCTTTCATTTTGTCCATAATATATCAATAATTTATATATAGAGTAAAACTTGGGTACTACTGACATTCTAAATTTCTATTATCTTACTTTGGGCAGGACAATAATACTTTTTGGTTTTGTTTTTAATTTGGGGCTGTATCCAGCAATATTCAGGGATTACTTCTAGCTCAGGGATCATACCTGACAGTGCTCCTGGAACCTATTGTAGTACCAGGGATTGAACTGGGTCAGCTGCATTCAAGACAACTCTATTACCCCCTATACTATCTCTCTGGTCCATAAGTATTCTTCAATTGGTGGTTTTCTTGAATTCCCTTTGCCCACAAGCACATTGAATTTAAATATATTGTGATAATTATGACTCCCCTGCAAAGATCTCCTAAATCAGTTCTGCTCATTTGTAGAGACAGAGCTTGATACATTTCCTTCTCATGTGGGTTTTGGATCTACATGTTCTTGGAAACTATTTATTTAGGTGGGACAAGCCACCTACAAATTTTAGGAAGAATTTCATTTTTCTTTGGTAACGTAGGAACACTTTATTCTCTGGCACATTTAATGCTTGCCTTCTTAGTTTAATAATTCTAATTGGATAGAATGTACCATGATTTATCATTGTGTCTCTTTTTTAATATGAGATTGTTGACATTTTGCTTGAATTTCAGAGTGATTCAATTTCTCATAAGATTCTGCCTTATTCTTGTTGGTTTTTAACATATTAAGAGCAGTACACTGTCTTCCTGTCATCATCTTCTGTATAAACTTTGCATTTTCTCAGGAGACCAGATATCTAAATTGCTAGTTCCAGCTAAGCACCCTCTTGAAATCATTACTAATAAATTAATTTATTTACTTTGTTTATGAGGCCTTCTGGACTGCCACGGAGCCTTTCACATAATGTGACTTGGTGTTTGATCTTTTCTCTGTAGTGCTTAGTGTAGGGGGTGAATATGAATAAGGTAAAATATGTGCTTTTAGGGAATTTTACCTTCTTCTGAGAAAGTAGCTTTGGAAAAGAACTCAGTCCATGCAATAGCAGAATAAGTAGTGATGAAAACACAATAGACAAAAGGGGGAGATATTCCAAGAGTCTTCATGGGAAAGGTGGAAGTGGAAATCTAGTTTCAAGGATGGACAGACTAGCTATAGGAGACGGGACTACTCCAAGGCCTGGAGCCACAGAATCTAATAAGCAGAAAATGAAAAAAGTCATGTGGGTGGAAGGAATTGTGGTGTGAAGGGGCAGAGCTGGGATTTTTTTTTTTTTTTTGCTTTTTGGGTCACATCCGGTGAGGCACAGGGGTTACTCCTGGCTTTGCACTCAGGAATTACTCCTGGCAGTGCTCAGGGGACCATATGAAATGCTTGGAATCGAACCCGGGTTGGCCGTGTGCAAGGCAAATGCTTTACCCGCTGTACTATTGCTCCAGCCCCTGAACCACATTTTCAAGAGTATGTTGGATTTGAGCATAAAGCACCCTGAATACTAAAAGATTTTGAATTTGGTGTAGGTAGCAGAGAAAATGAAGTTACAGGTAGAGACAGGCACTTGATTACCAATAGCAATACCAGTTAACTCAGTATCTACCTGTGTCCTTCATGGAGTTTTATAGTAACTTGCACAGTAACACTAGAAATACAGGTGATATGATTCCCTTTATTAGAGGTGAATAAAATGCAATGTCAAGAGGCAGAGTGATCTGGCAATGTTGTCAAACATGGATTGGATGAAGCTTAAGTTACACATAGAATTGATGAACGTATAATTTGATCTCTTTCCTTCATTAAAATGTCCTAAAAGGGACTTGAATCTATATTTTATTTATTTTATTTTATTTTGAGGTGGAGTGATAGCACAGCGGTAGGGCGTTTGCCTTGCACACAGCCAGCCTGGCTGTGCCGGGTTTGATTACTCTGCCCCTCTCGAAGAGCCTAGCAAGCTTCCAAGGGTATCTTGCCCGCACAGCAAAGCCTGGCAAGCTCTCCGTGACGTATTCAATATGCCAAACACAGTAACAACAAGTTTCAAAATGGAGACATTACTGGGCCAGCTCAAGCAACTTGATGAACAATGGGAGGACAATATTTGTTTGTTTGTTTTTTATTTTATTTTATTTTGTGATGTCTCCCAAGCAGTGTTCAGGAGCCCCAAAGGTCCCACTGGTGATTCTAAGCTAACTGGAGAGCTGACTGTGTTTCAGTCGAGGTCACCAAGAGTCCATACCTCCTGCCATTTCTGTGTGCAAGGTGCTGGTGAGAGTGGCGGTGATGGTGCTTGTGGTGGTCTCTGTCTCCATAGCAAGAGGGATCTGGAGAAAGATGTTTGTTCCGCTTGGGCCATGGAGAGCCCTAAAGAATCACAGATGCCCAATGCGGAGTCACAGGAAATATCTGGACCATTCTGCAGCATTTTTACTAAATGAAACGTCAAGTAGCACAACAAAATTCCCATCCAAAGTCAATAGATGTAAACAGATTTAACATTTATGAAGAGATTAGAATGATTTCTCAAATAAAAAGAGGACTGGAGGCAAAAAATTTAAGAACATCGATAGGAACAATTGCCATTAAAAAATACCAAGTACAACTTCAGCAAGCAGGACAATTTTCTTTAAGTACCCAGAGCAATTTTCCCCCTGTACATGACTACTTGCATTCATCATTGTCTGTGCTTCTCAATTTCCTACCCCAAACACAGATGCCCACACACATGAAGATACTTACTCCCTCCTACATCTTCCATTGCTTTCACCCTTCTTTTATATCATCTGGATGTTGTTCCTCAACATAGAGTTATATGAAGTTCCCCTGACAACTTTAGAAGCAAACTTTGAAGAGATTTTTAGAGCTACCAGACTCACACTTATTCTTACTGAGAAGTAAGGCCCTGAGAATGGCAAATCGTTCATTTTCCAAAAATTCTAACTTTAGAAGGCAGTGTATTTCAGTATGTGTTACTATTTCAGCATATTTTCCCAGGGATTTTACACATCCACTTGTGAAGAATAAATATTCAGAGTGACTAACCTTGTTTTAATTAACACCAAAGAAAATAATGGTGGTTGATGCAACCAGCTATTTTCAGGTTTTCTTTTTTTAACTGTGGCAGTTGCCTTTTAGAGGGCTGGGGGAAGAGTGGCTCCCTTTCATCCCCTCCACTGCCCCCTTTTCCCTTTCAAGAATGAAACTGGCTCCTTGTTCAAAGCCTACAGGCATACTCAGGATACTCACATTTTGTTGTCATCAGCTTATCAAGAGATTGGGCCCACTGCAAGACTTCCTCCAATGTCAGACTTTGAAAAGAAAGAAAAAAGGCTCTGGTCACTTTAAAATATTCTCAACATTTTGCTGAGCTAAAATAGAAATATAACCTCTGGACAATAGTGTAGAAATAGAATTAGGCTCTTGGGGATGGTTTTTGGATGGAAGTCCATCTTCCCGATGCTGTCTAACATTTTATTCCATTTTCAGTTGTTTTATGGAGACCACACTCAGTGGTGGTTTCGGGGGTGCTAAGGCCACTCCACTAATGCTTGGACAGGTTTGATGTGGGCAACAAAGCCTGTAATGATTTTATTTATTTATTTATTTATTTATTTATTTATTTGCTTTTGGGGCCACACCAGGTGGTGCTTGGGGCTTTTTCCTGGCTCTGAACTCAGGGATCACTCCTGTCAAAGCTCAGGGGACTTTATGGGGTGCTGGGGGTTGAACCCATGTCAGCAGCGGGGAAGACAAATGTCCTATCTGCTATGCTGTGATGCTCTGGGGTCTCTAGTGCTGGGATAAGGGAAACAGTGCAAAGTTGCACCTCAGGACCTCTCATAGCCCTCAAACTATTTCCTTCTTCCTTTACTTTTTCCTTTTTGGAGGGACAGGTCTTCCTAGCAGTGCTCGAGCAGCTCAGGAGACTCTTTGGCTATATTCACAGCTGAATACAGATGAGTATACACAGAGGCCAGTGGCCCTCAAGATTCTAGGCTTAAAAGAAAACCTTTTGGGATTTTGATTTCTATTTATTTGTGGTGACTAAACTGTACTGTTAATTTCACTTGGTATAGGCAGTATGGAAAGGCATTTGTATCTTTTCCTTTTAGTGGACTCTGTGGGGTGATATGGTGACTAAGTTCTTACTTCAGGGCCAGAGAGATAGCACTGGGGTAAAGGTGTTTGCCTTACATGCTGCCAACCCTGGCACTGTATGTGGACTCCAAGCACTGCTAGCAGGAGCACTAAACAGACACAGAGCCGGATGCAGCCTCTAACCACTACTATGGCCCAGAAATAGACAAAGAACTCATTTTATCATTTTTCTTTTTATAATCTACAATGTGGGCCTGAAGAGACAGTGGATAGGGCCTTTGCCTTGCACACGACTGACCTGGTTTTGATCTCTGGCACCCCATATGGTGCCCTGAGCACAACAGTAGTGACCCATGAGCTGGGAGCCAGAAGTAATATTTGAGCACGGCTGATGTAGCACAAAAACAAATAAACACACAACAAAATAAAATATGCACTCTGTTTATTGTCATGAAGTTTATGATGGTCACGGCGACGGCCCTCCCGTTGTTCATCGATTTGCTCAAGCGGGCCCAGTAACATCTCCATCATGAGACTTGTTGTTACTGTGTTTGGCATATCGAGTACTTCACGGGTAGCTTGCCAAGCTCTGCCGTGTGGGCAAGATACTCTCGGTAGTTTGCTGGGCTCTCCGAGAGGGGCGGAGGAATCAAACTCGAGTAGGCCATGTTGGCTGTGTACAAGGCAAACGACCTACCGCTGTGCTATCGCTCCTAGCACAGCCAGTAGGGTGTTTGCCTTGCACACGGCCGACATCGCCGATCCGAGTTTGATTCCTCCATCCCTCTCAGAGAGCCCGGCAAGCTACAAGGTGTATCCCCCCTGCACGGCAAAGACTGGCAAGCTCCCCATGACGTATTCAATTTGCCAAACACAGTAACAAGTCTCACAAATATTACTGGGCCCACTCGAACAAATCGATGAGCAACGGAAGGGCAGTGACAGTGACAGTTTTAACATTCAGGGATCACTCCTGGAGGGGCTCCGGTATCATATGGCACCAAATGAAAAGCAAGCACCTTATCCAGCATACTATCCCTCCAATCCCTAAATTGTTTATTTTCATGTTCTGATATTGACATATAATAAAAGACAGAAATAGACACAAGTGGGCACTGTCCACTGAGAGTCCTGTTATAGTTAGACCACTAATTAAAGGAAGGAACAGCCATTGCATTAGCAGGTACTTCATATAATGAAGAAAGGTTAGTGAAAGAGGTTAGAAAACACGCTGCAATGTGGAAACACATTGAGAGCCCTCAAATCAGACAAACATCTTCTGTTTTCTACACATTCACAAAGCTTTTACCAATTTTAGATGGACTGTGTCCATTAGGATGGAGGCTTAACTGATGTCCAGTTTAGTTTCACAGAGCGTTTATCTGAAGTGGGCTCTGACCCAGCGCTCCTTTCTCTTATTGGAACTTTAAAAAACAGTGACGTAAAATAAGTTCTTGGATCAGTGAAATGGCCAGTGTATCCTGCATGCTTGTACATTCCATCCATTCTCATTTTATAGCCAGAATCAACTAGGTAATGTGAGTGAGGATATAGTCTTAAGTGTCTTTGATTATACTACAAATTTGTGGTGGCAATTGTTGGCAAAAAGTCCTTTGTTCTTTAGGGTTATGAGATATATGGACAAAGATCATAATGCTGTGACTCTATTTGTATTGGGGAGATGGGCAAGAGCCACCTGGACTAGGTTGAGGTCCTTTGGACCTGGGAAAATCTAATTAAAATGGCTTGTTACACTCTGTAGGCATTGCCTGCTTTTTTTTTTTTTTGCTTTTATGGGTCATACCTGGCAATGCACAGGGGTCACTCCTGGTTCTACACTCAGGAATTACTCCTGGCGATGCTCAGGGGACCATATGGGATGCTGGGAATCGAACCTGGGTCAGCTGGGTGGAAGGCAAACACCCTACCAGCTGTGCTATCGCTCCAGCCCCTGCTTTTTTTTCATGGTGGCTATTTTCATTTAGATGTCTATCTGTTGGTGTGGCAAGCTGTGGAAGACACTAGGGGACTTGAGAAGCATTTGGTTATCACATGTTAGGAATGGAATATGGTGCTTTGTAAATGAAAGGTTTGAAACATGAAAATTGTCTGGATAAAAGAATCTCATTTTAGCATAAATAATATAAACTTTTTCAGATCTAAGTATTTATGTATCTTTGATTCTAAAAACAGTTTACTGGCTGAATTCTCAGGTGTCAACCATGCATAGTGAGAAAGAGCATCACATATTTATTTATGTAGCACATGAATAGTATTTTGGTGGAATTACTCCTCTGTAATCCAGATCTGTATCATGTGTGAATAAAGAGTTCACTTTTGGAGCAAACTATATTAGCTAACACTTAAATATATACAATAAATATCATGCAAACAATTCCACAAAAATGGAAATGTTACTTACTTTGAAGGGGGCTGGTTTGATTCATCTCTGCACCTCTTGCAAATCCAACAATTCCTCCTGCTCATCTTTCTAAAGAAATACAACAGATACTTAGTATAATTTAGTCACAGAAACATGTTAAAGGGAGTTTCTAAAAATGCATTAAGTGCTCTTCCTGTTCCTCCCCAATGCTGTGCCAGTCATCTTCCTCTCCCAGAGAGTGCATTTAATCAATGTTTACAAGTAGACTGCAAGAGACTTCGTTTGACGTGGGAAATTAATTAAATTTTGCAATTTGTTTCAATAAATATATGAAGGTTAAATAAAAAACAAAACAAAAAAATAAAAATCCATTAAGTTATAAACCAGGAAAAAATTAGGATGGAGTTTTGAAGTGATTGAAGTGTCATCATTGGTGGCAGTGAAAAAGAGAGAGAAGAAATGACTCATCCTATAAATATTTTACAGGAATATCAGCTCTCTGAATTAATGATGTTAGTATCCTTAGAACCCAGTTGGTTACATCGCATAATGATGTTTAAAAAAATACAGCTTTCTAAGCAGGATCTGTCTATTTAGGGTCAATCAACAACAAATTCTCCAATTTTTTGCTTCACATTTGAGTATTTCTTATTTTTAGAAAAATATTGAGTTGAACGAGAGTGTTTGCCCCTTTGTGATTAGTGAAAAACAGTATAAATAACAAGATAAAAATAAACTTCTTGAAGGGTAAAATATTTTCTTTTTGCTTTTGGGGTTTCTATTTGGGGACCAACCCCAGCAGTGCTCAGTGCTTTCTTCTGGCTCTGTACTCGGGGATCACTCCTGGAGGGACTCGGTGGTGGAAATCCCACCTGAGTCAGTCACGTGCAAGGCCTGTGCCCTCCATCTGTACTATAGCTGGGGTCCCAGCAGCTTTTTTTTGTTTTTGCTTCTTGGGTCGCACCTGGCGATGCACAGGCGTTACTCTGGCTCTGCACTCAGGAATTACCCCTGGCAGTGCTCAGGGGACCATATCGGATGCTGGGAATCGAACCCGGGTTGGCGGCATACAAGGCAAAAGCCCTACCCGCTGTGCTATTGCTCCAGACCCCCCCCCCAGCAGCTTTTTTTAAAAAAAAACTTCTATTAATTTCATTATAAGCATCTCTTGAACCTTCAGTATGTGCCATATTCTATCATTCCTCTGTCCTCATTAGCCAGCAGTCAAAACTTAAGAGATGAATCTTTGATTCAGAGACAGCTGTGAATTCAGGCTGTGGGAGAACCCAAGTGGATTTAAGGGTTTAGAGAAGGCTGTGCAGTAACTTCAGGGCTGTGAGGAATATGCAGAGTTGAGGAGGAGGGGCAGCTGGTCACAGGTCAGGAGGTCATGGTCAGGAACTAGCAGAGGAAGTGAGAGGAATGCAGTCATTGCATGAATTCAGAGATCAGCAGTGCAGGAGCTCAGAAAATGCCGAGAGTTGAATGAGCTATTGGCCGTTTTCTTTTTCTTTTTTTTTAACATTTAAAAAAATTTTTATTTATTATTTAACTTTTTTTTAAACTGTGAAATAGACCCTTACAAAGTTATTAATGTTTGGATTTCAGTCATATAATATTTCAACACCTATCCCTCCACCAGTGTACATTTCCCAGCTCCAGTATCACCAGGTTTCCTCCCATCAACCCCCACCCCCACCCCCTGCCTGCCTCTATGGCAGGTGCTTTCCTACCCCCCCTCTCTCTTTCTCCTCTCTCTGTTTCTCTCACTCCTTTTGGGCATTGTGGTTTATAATATTGATACTGAAAGGCTATCAATAACATTCCTTTACCTACTTTTAACCCTCAGATCTTGTCCGGTGTGATCTTTCCCAGCTGTTATTGTCCTACTGGTCTCTTACCTGTTTTACCTACCCTCAGCCACACACACACCTGGGGTTAGTTCCAGCCATTGACCAATCCTAATCCCTGTTTTCCCTAGTCATGGATATCTACTATATAGCTTTATATACCACAAATGAATACAGTCATTCTGTATCTGTCCCTTTCCTTCTGACTCATTTCATTCAGCATGATACTCTCCATGTCCATCCATTTATAGGCAAATTTCGTGCCTTCATTTTTCCTGGCAGCTGCATAGTATTCTATTGTGTAGATGTGCCAAAGTGTCATTATCCATTCATCTGTTCTTGGGCACTCAGGTTGTTTCCAGATTCTGGCTATAGTGAATAGTTCTGCAATGAACATAGGAGTTCAGATCGTGTTTCTGAACAGCCACTTTCAAAAACAATAAAACACGGGGTATGGTGCCACCAGCAGGTCAATCTGTACCAGTGAGAAGAGTGCATCAGCAGCCTGATGGCACCTTCAGACTTCCAGATACCCCAAAATTGCTGCTGTGCCTTTGGCCAGACCCCCAAAACTTGGGGCAAAGTTTACCAATAAAGTAAATGGCCGCAAAACCCTACACGATATTGAGGCTAACGGTATCTTCAAAGACAACACTCCACTGACCAACCAAGTGGAAATAGAGATAAACAAATGGGAGCATCTTAAATTAAGAAGCTTCTGCACCTCAAAAGATACAGTAACCAGAATACAAAGACAATCTATAGAATGCAAAAGGATATTTACCCAATACCCATCTGATAAAGAGTTGAGATCAAGGATATACAAAGCACTGGTTGAGCTCTACAAGTAGAAAACCTCTAACCCCATCTAAAAATGGGGTGATGAACTGAACAGAACCTTTCCCAAAGAAGAAATCCAAATGGCTAAAAGGCACATGAGAAAATGCTCCACATCATTAATCATCAGGGAGATGCAGATCAAAACAGCAATGAGATGTCATCTCACACCACAGAGACTGGCCCACATCCAAAAGAACAAAAGCAACCAGTGTTGGCCCGAATGTAGTGAGAAAGGGACCATCCTTCAGTGCTGGTGGGAATGCCTGCTGGTTCAGCCCTTTTGGAAAACAGTATGGACAATTCTCAAACAATTATAAATTGAGCTCCCATTTGACTCAGCTATACCACTCCTGGGAATATATCCCAGAGAGGCAAAAAAGTACAGTCAAAATGACATCTGCACTTGTTTGTTCATTGCTGCACTATTCACAATAGCCAAAATCTGGAAAAAACCCAAGTGCCAGAGAACAGATGACTGGTTAAAGAAACTTTGGTACATCTACACAATGGACTACTATGCAGCTGTTAGAAAAGATGAAGTCATGAAATTTACATACAAGTGGTACTACATGGAAAGTATCATGCTAAGTGAAATGAGTCAGAAAGAGAGGGACAGACATAGAAAGATTGCATTCATCTGGTGAATATAAAGTAACAAAATGGGAGACTAACACCCAAGAATAGCCGAGATAAGTACCAGGAGGTTTACTCCGTGGCTTGGAGGCCACCAGCACATGCTGGGGGAGAAGCAGCTCAAACAGAGAGGGGAGCACCAAATAAAAAGGGTGTTGGGAGGATCCTCCCAAGATGAGAGATGCATGCTGAAAGTAAACTATAGGCCGAACATGATTGCCACTCAATCCCTCTTTTGCAAATCACAGCACCCAAAAGAAGAGAGAGAACAAAAGAGAATGCCCTGAGACAGGGGTGTGGTGGCATGGGGGGTGGGGGAGGTGGAAGGGATGCTAGGAGAATTGGAGGTGGGGAATGGGCACTAGTGGAGTGGTGGGTACTCAATCGTATAACTGAAACCCAAGCACAAAAGTTTGTAAGTCTACACCTGTACCTCATGGTGTTTCACTAATAAAAATTAAAAAAAATAAATAAATAAAAAATAAAAAATTAAAATTAAAAAAAAAAGAAAGTAAATGGCCAAAACTTAGGTATGTGGGAGACACACCCACAAACCACCTCCAGCTCAGCTATATAATTGGAGGCATGGCTCTCTGGTTCCTGATCGAACTGCTTAATGGCCATGATCCCAGAGACTCAGAAACAAATCTCAAAACCTAATGGATTTTGCATTTGGTTTCAAGATTTGTCGCTGGTCGCTGGAGTAGGTTACTAGCACCGGGCGACTCTAGGTGGGACTAGGATTTGTGCCTTGACCTGTTCCCCCTGGCGGCCCAGTTGCCACCATCCTCCAGAGGCCACTGGACAGTCAGGTTTGGGCCCACAGTGATGACACATGCTGGACCTCAAGGGATGGGGGTGGAGCTGGCCCTTTCCTCCCCATCCCAACAAGACCCTGAGTTGCCACCCATGAACTTCCTCTCTGGTTCCTGATCAAGCTGCTAAACGGCCACGATCCCAGAGACTCAGAAACAAATCTTAAACCCAACGGCTTTTGCCAGAATTGCGTCCATTCCCTGCAGTAGGTGACTGTCACCGGGCCACCCCAGGTGGGAGTGACTATGGACATGTTTTGGCAGAAACCCCTGCAGGTTTATTTGTTAAAATTTCGGAATTCCAAAATTGTGTGGTCACTGCTGCAGCCACACAACATCATATGTTATTCATAATGAGCAATAGAAAACAAATGGTCTCCTGTTGCCTTTTTGGCATATCTGAGTGTTGGGGTAAAATCCCAAATAATAATGGTGGATCAGGTGTCAAAATTTTGAATATTATCAAAGTAGAGAGAGAGTAATGTGGATATCATCTGCCCCACAGGTAGGGGGAGGGTGTGAGATGGGCGTATATTGAGGTTTTTGGTGATGGAAAATGGGCACTGGTGTTTCATCATATGACCAAGACTTAAACCCAAAAGCTTTGTAACTGCTCTCTCAGTGATTGAATAAATATAATTATAAAAAATGAAAGAAAAGTAAGGTGGAGTTCATAACCAATTCAGTCAGCCTAATCAGAGGCTGACTAAATAGCAATACTCCTACATTAGAAAATAAATAAATAAATAAATAAATAAATAAATGTTCAGAGAGAGCGAGAGAGATTGGAAGTAAAGAGACTTCCTGAGGAAAATTGGAAAAGCATGCGATCCCAGATACCAAGGAAGGAGTCCCCTGAAGGGAAAGATGGGCCAACTTAGTGTTCAAAGTTGAGGAAGGATGAAAAGAACTTTAGATGGAGAAAATGTGCTTTGTATTTGTCAATAAAAAGGTCATCAGTCACTTCAGT